GTCTTCAGGCCAAACGACCCCCATTCCAAAGGGATGGACCCTATTCGTCCGTTTCTATTTGCATGTTTTCTAAACAAAAACAAGGCTTTGTTGGGCTGCTGGATAAAACCTGGAACTAAATGCTATTTCTGACATTTTGAATTGAAAAAGCTTCCTAAATGGAAAAGAAACGTCTTAAAACTTGGAAACAGAGTCCAGTGGATAGATTTTAACTTTTTAGGACTGGTTAAAAACAATGGAATGAATCCTCTACTTCAGCATAATAGTCAATGAGTTTATAGCTGTAACTTTAGATCTAACTATAGATCCTGATATGAACTGATTGGTGATAATTAGTAACTCCTGACCTATCTTTGTCTCCTTTTTCCTAAGCTGTTTGGTACAGCCTGGTGTTTGATGACCGACGGTTCCCCCCCTGGGCAGTCCTGGATGAATCCCACCGACTGCAGCCCAGAACCCTTTCTTTACGGACTGGGAGTCAGAAATGCGAACGACTCGGCTTTTCTGTGCAGGTCTGGAAAAATCTCTCCAGAAACGATAGTTATTTCTTTTCTTCAGTTTGATTCTTAAAAGTAAATCTCATATAAACAGGACAGAGCGGATTACAGGCGGCCCATTGTGGTTGTTATGGAAGCAGGACTTCAGAACCAGGACAAGGGGCCGGTGTTGGACCCAGAATGGCCGACCACCTTTAGAACAGAGGTAAATGTCCCGGAAACATATCTGTGTTTGCTTCATGAAGCAGTATCTTAGACGCTCTGTTATTTTCTTTTTTTATCAAACATTGTTTTTTGCATACAGACTGTAAAATATCACATTTTCCAAAAGAAAAACTCAAAGCAAAAATTCAGCCTAAAAGTCTGAGATAAAAATATTCTCTTTAAATATTATCTGTCCAGAACTCACTAAGTCAAGCAGTTTTACTTTTATCCGATTCAAGTTCAGTAATCGAATAGCAAAACTATAGTTCGTTCCCACATTTCATCCATGTTTTATGGAGCCTAGTAAATAGTTCAACTGAATAATCTGATTACCGTACTCACCTTCATCCACTTGCGACACAGCCAATCAGCTTTGAACCACGCCTCCACGAAAACCAATCAGCATCCAAAGCTCATCTTAAAAGGCCTCCGATACGCACCTGTCTGCTCCTGTGCGCAGGCGGCGGATGCGCTGTGACTTCATTCAGATGACACCGTTTTAACCGTTTTAACCCCCCTCCAGCCCCTCCTTCACCATCAGAGCTAAAGCTTCATCAGAGCGTCATTCCTCCTGGACTCTTACTGCGTTCCCTGTCTCATCTAAAGCGGTCCAGCAGAAGACCGCCATGTTGATCCTGGTTCTGCCAGAGGTTTCTTCCCAACGGGGAGTTTTTCCTCTCCACTGTCACTTCATGCTTGCTCATCATGGAGAGGTTCTCTCAACCTGTGTTATCCAACTGGACTTCCATCTTCCAGGTTCCTGAGTGAAGCTCTACTATCAGCTCACGCAGTCCACCGGATCTCCCCATAAAGCTCAGCAGACCGTCTCTCCAACCAGCAGTCTACAGACTGACCAACTCCATCTATCTCCACTCCACCACCAGTTTCAGGCCTGGGGGGGGGGACAGCCCTATTCTTTACTCCTGTTCATGCATATCTATCAAAATTCAGCACTATGTTTCCTGCTGAGGTCTGAGCACAAAAAGTAATTGTATCAATACATTTCTTCTAATTGTCTTTTCTCTCCCTGTGAGTTTTTCAGATTGAAATTCTTTTTTGGCATAGCCTCTCAAAATTTATGGAATCCTATCCAGCTACCAATTAACGACGTAGACTTTAAACAGCAGCATATGATCCAGAACAAATCAGCAGGTCACTGCAAGGTGTGAAACAGATAAATAAAGCAAAGTTTCTGATGAGGCCTAATCAAAGTTTATAATTAAATATAAATGAGGCATCATCCAATCACGGTCTATCATTCTCCATTTCAATGACTCCATGCAAACTGTTGGGTTTATGAGGAATCCATGAATCATTCGAGTTTTTTAGATTCAAACCAACCATAAAATATGAGAAAATAATGTTTTTCTTTTATGTGTTTGTTTCATAAACATTTTGGGCTCAGAAGTCACTAGGAGGTAGTTAATGAGCCACAAGCAGCAATAAATAAAAAACTGATGCCGATCGCGACTCACGATTCAATAGACAAAATCGGATGATGATGCAAATCATTCATTTTAAAAATACTTTATTAATAACAAAGTGAAAATTAAATGTTACAGTAACTCATAAGTTACTTTTTTAGGTGTATTAGGTGTTGATGCTGTAGGCATCGTGGGCATGCGAGAGAAGCCTCTGACTGAAGACACTCTGTTGTTGTATCACAGTCTGATGAAGAGGATGCTTCACAGTTGTCGCTAATTTTCTTCACTTTATGAAAAATTCCTCTTTGTCAAATCATCTCCAGAGGTTCTAGAGGAGTATGGTGATTTATCAGCTGTTACCCCAGCATCAGAGCTGAGGTTTTGAATTGAAAAGCTTCTGGGATGGCAAGCAAAACGTCTTCAAACTTGGCAACAAAGTCCAGTTTTTGAACTTTTTTGAAGCACATTTAATTCATCATCTGATTTGTTCATCCAGTTGTTTTTTGATATTTTTAGTCCTTTAGCCTTGTTACTCAGATGTTTTCATGCGTTTTGGTGTTTTTTCTGATTTAATACGGTTATTGTCCCGGCAGCTTCCATTCTGGAATGGATGTGAGGAGGAGGACTGCACCCCCGACCTCATCCTCCACAGCCAAACGGACCTTTTGACTCTTCTGTGAGAAGCTGAGCCTGTTTTCCAAATTCAAACACACTCTTGGATCTGTTACAGAATAAAATGTTTTTGTTTCACTTGAAGACAGTTCTGCAGCAGCAGGAAACATGCGGCCTACTCCCTCTGCAGCCCTACGAGGGGACATGAAGAGAAAGTGTCTGTGGTGGAGAGTGGACGCAGGAAAATGACTGTGATCGGTCAGTTAGAGAACTCGGGAGAGAACGCATACAGAACGACACTCAACATCTCCACCACACCAAACCTGCTCTTCTCCAACATCTTGATCAAGGTAAAACAATAAATAACCGTGAGCCGTCATTTCTGGAGATTTTCCAGATTTCCAATGTGGGGCCCTTGGCAAAGATAGGCGGGGGCCCCTATGAACTGAGAAGACAACACATAAAACAGACCCATTCTACAGATAGAGAAATGATAATAGAATAGACATCCATTATCTTTTCTAGGTTGTGTCCCTCTCTTCTTAGAAGAGAAGGTTAAGTTCTCTCCCTTTATTTCAATAACATAGATCAATTGGATTCATTGAAGGAAAACATGGTAGTTTATAGAACTTTGTTAGCTTGGCAAGACATAAAGAAATACTTGAATATTCCCCCCTCTATCTCAATTAGATCCACCCTGACCTTAAATCTGGACCTACAGTACCAACCTCTATTAGAAGAACTGGTCTACTGAATTGGTCTCATTCTGGTCTGAAAGATTTCTCTGATCTGTTGGTTTCCGATGCTATTAAATCATTTAATCAAATTAGGGACAAGAGCAACATTCCCAGTGTATTCTCATTATGAGTTCGTATGAAATCGTACGAAAAGTTATGCACCGTAATTTCGTATGTTTTGGACGCTTTTTTTGTCGTATGCGCATCTTATGCACCATTCAAGAACATAGAATATAAATTACAATTAGCCCTAACCCTGACCCTAACCCTAAGATATAAAACAGCAAGCAACGTAGTTACAGACATGAATAAGTGATGATTGCACTGTTTTTCCCAGTTTTATGTCCGTCCGCGGGTCTGCCAGCGCATGCGCACTGATGTGGCTTTTTGAGGAAAAACGTCCAAAACGTACGAAATAGTGTGCATAACTTTTCGTACGATTTCATACGAACTGATAATGAGAATATGTTGACATTCCTCAGAAAATTTTTTATAAATATCTTCAAATTCTGCAATTTATGGATTCATTATTTCGGTCTAATCCATTCCGTAGGGAACTGACGGACTTAGAAAATGTTCTGGATTCAACCAACTCTCCAAAGGGTCTGATTTCTAAATTCTATGAACTCTTACTCAGCCCTGTACCATCAAGCTTTGACTCTGTCAAGTGGCTCTGGGAGCGTGATCTAGAGATGCAATTCAGTCCTTCTGATTGGCTTAAGATCTGCAATGGAACCTTCCCTCGCTGCACTTCTATTTCTATACAAGAACTGACTTTCAAACTTTTCTATAGGTCCTACTATACCCCTGTTCGTCTTCAGAGAATGTTCCCAGACCGTTCAAATCTATGTTGCAAATGTTTCAGGCATAGAGGTACTTTTTTCCATCTATTTAGGTTATGTGATTTATAAAGGTCCTACTGGAGGGACGTTCATTTGGTGATTAAAAAGGTTTTTGGTGGTACGCTTCTTTTTGTCTCCTGTGTTTTATCTTTGAAATGTTTCCCCTAATCATCTGGGTGCACATTCTAAATCCTTGTTTACAATTCTTCAACTTTTTGCCAAGAAATGTATTTTGTTCCAATGGACGTCTCCTTCTGCTCCCGAGGTAAATATGTAGCTCACACAGATATCTGTTATCCTTCCTTTGTAAAAGCTGACCCACGATCTCAATCACAGATCAGACACATTTTCAGCACTGTGGGGTCCCCTCGAGTCTTTTCTGCTTGGTCACTTGGATTTTAGTATTTTTTTCCTTTAATAGCACTATTTATGTTTGCTTGGTTCTGTTCTCCTCCTCTGATGGATAAGGGGTGAGGTGGATGTGAAAGGATTGACTCCTTGTTCCTTGTTCATGTGGATGATATTGTTTATATATATATATATATATATATATATATAATTATTATTTATTTATTTTCGTATTTATTTATTTTTCTTCTTTTAATGTATGTGTGTGTAAAGTGGCACAGGTTTGTTCTTTGTATTGTAACTAATCTAAAGTGGCCGACAGGACCAATCGGATATCCAGATCGAATGTCCTACTGAGTACAGAACGACCTCCCAGAGAAGCTGCAGCATTAGTGCACCGTTCATGAAGTCACTGTCCCAGGTGGGGGAAATATAGCAGTTCTACTCTGTTTTATATTCACAATTAGCCTCTATAATACAAACCACTTCTCATCCTGTCGCTTTGATTCTAGGTGCCAAATATTATGTTTATCTTTTTTATCAAAGCTTTTTAAGGTGTTCCGTTTTGCATCTTTTAGTGTTCAAGATGAAGTGAAATCAGAAGATCAGCAGATATTTAATCAGTGTTTAAAAGGATCAGAGTTCAATCTTATACCATCTTTCTGCCACCATTTAATGCAGCAAATGAATCAACCAAAGCCCCTAATCCCATCGACCGCCTCTCCTCTGTGATGGAGATGGGACGATGGGGGAGGGCGTGCTGGGAACAGCTCTAAACCACTAGCTCTGCTCCACTTTAGGTTACTTTTCATCTGGAGTTGGAGTTCAGCCGGTCAATCTTTCTGGATTATGTTCAAGTCAACATGGCCGCCACTAGGTAAGAGAAGTGCTACTGGTCACATGCTGATGGTGTATTGTTGTTAAAAGATGTTTGAATTTAAATTAGATAACTGGATCCATTCCAAAAAAGTTAAAAAACAATCCACTGGACTTTGAAGTTTGAAGACATTTCTCTTCCCATCCAGAAAGCTTCTTCAATTCAAAATGTCAGAAATAGTGTTGGGTTCCAGGTTTTATACAGCAGCCCAACAAAGCCTTGTTTTAGTTTAGAAATCATGCAAACAGAAACGGATAAAAAGCCTCAATTCCCACCAAAGGAATCCCTATAATTTGTTATAGCTGTTTTTGACTCTCGTTATTGAAAATGAACAGCTCCAGTCTGATAGAGATAGACGGAACTAGAGTTTAGTGTAGGTAGTTAGAGGGTGGTCGGGGCTTTATCGTGGTTTGTTTCCGTAATCTGGAGACCATGTTGGAGCCCTGTATGTATTCCTCATTCATCCTCAGACAGACAGTAACTACATTCACCTTTGTAACTAAATGGAGGGAGGGAGTGAGAGAGAGAGAGAGAGACTAAACTTGCAGCCCTGACCAACGGGACTATATGAAAAGACTGCGGGAACTATGGAAACTTTGATACCCACAGTCTGGGCTAAAAGCGGAGTAGGTCAAAGTTTGAACATTGCTTCCACAGTTTACGTGCCAGAGCTTCCAACAAATGCAAACTATGTCAATGGAGAACCAATCCACAACGCCATATGGGGGCGCCACCATCAACCTCCCTGATATTGGGCACCAAGCCGAAATGATGCAAGACAGACTGAATGAGAACCACTGACCTAAGAAATAAGATCATGGCTCAGATGAGATCCTGTCAACCAAGATACAGGCTAGTAAATCTAAATAAAGTGAAGCAGATGATCTCCTGGGTAATATGAACAGAGCGCTAAATATGATTGCAAGCCATTTGAACACCTCCTGTACATGGATGACATTCAGCTGTATGCTAAGAGTGAACCAGACATTGGCACGCTGATCTACACCACCAGGACCTACAGCAGAGACATTAGCATGTCATTCGGGCTGGATAAATGTGGCCGGATGGTGACAAGGAGAGGGAAGGTAATCCACACAGAGAGGATCTCACCACCAAAAAGGACAATAGAGAGTCACAAATACCTTGGAATATCATGGGCAAATGGCATCCACAAAGAGGCCACAAGGAAAGCAGCAACAGCCAAATACATGAGAAGAGCTCAATGGTGAGGTCAAGGTCCAGGCAATCAACAGCTGTGCCTTGCTAGTAATTAGATACCGTGCTGAGATACGAAGTAGGCTTGAGGATGAAAATTCAAGCTACTGATGTTGAATCAGGAAAGCTACTCATCATCCATGTTGGATTCCATCCCAAAACCAGTTCCCACAGACTATACACTAAGCAGAGAAGGAAGCAGAGGCCTACTGAGCATCAGAGACACCACTAAAGATAAAACACAACAGATAAAATAGCTCCAAGAATACATCAGTAAGATCGCCCCAATGGAATGTGAGTGAATGTCTCAGACAGTGGAAGCTGGAAATAAAGACACTGGAGGAAGCATCATGGGAGGAAAAACTCCTGCATGGGAAGGACCACTGACAGAACGCTGAAATGGCCGATATGACCAAATCCTACCAACGGCTAGAGAAAGACGGGCTGAAACTGGAGAAACGGCAGGGGCTCAGGGAAGAACTAGAGAGAGCCTGGAAGGTGAAGTCAACTGCAGTCCAACTGTGGTCACTGGAGCACTGGGGGCAGTAACACTCACACTGGAAAAGTGGCTTCAGCAGATACCTGGAGAAACATCAGACATCTAAGTCCAGAAGAGCGCAGTTCTAGGGACGGTTAAGATACTGAGAAAAACCTGGAACTCCAAGGCCTCCGGTAGAGGACCTGGAGTGGAGATGAAGAAGCCACCCACCCCATCAGTATAAGGGTTGGTAGGAGAGGTGTTTATATATATATATATATGAATATATACAAATATATGTATATCTTTTTCAAGGATGTTCTTAGTTTGAAAAAGAACTAACTCATCTTAGGTGTTTATTAAATGTGTTCTTCTGTGTGTTAGTGAGGGGGAGGATGGAAACCCAGGTGACAACACCAACAACATCTTCCTCCCTTTGAAATACCAAGCCGACCTTCTGTTCACCAGGTGGGTGAGACTAAAAGATCTTTGTCATTTAGGGGCGACCCTGAACTAAAGGTTCGCCGGTGTCTTAACTGAGTTACATTGAAATGCTAAACGAGAAATTAATTCAAACTGTATTTTTATGAGAAGGGACATTTTTGAAAAGTTAATTTAAAAGCTCTCAGAAAAGGTTCTGGAGCTTTAGATCTCAGTGATGCTGGACTCTTCTGGACTCCAGTCTGTGCTTCTGTCCTTGTTATTGTGTTTGATCTTTAACCAACGGTTGTTTTTCTTTTAACCTGACAGAGACCCCAATCCTCATCGTTTTGAGATCAGAGATGGCTTCTCCTCATACGATGAAGAACCAGATACAGCCTTTCCTTCCTTTAACCTCACCTTCAATGCAAGTTAAAGTAACACACTGTTAAATAAACAAAGAAATGAGAGCAGGCCAGGTCATCATTTTTAAGGCTCTCGTACTTACTGCCATATCATGTGAGGGTTTTGATTGCTTTCATTGATCAGAGCAGGATGTTTAATGTTTCAAACACAAATCACTGGGAATATTAAAACCACATTAAAATGAAAGCAACAAAGCATGGAATGTTCTGAAAACTCCCATCGTTCAAGCTATCTTCTTTTGCTGTTGCCAAGGACCGAGTTCCCTTCTTTCCACTAACCAACCGTCTTTCATCATAAGACTTAGACAGATTTATTTGTCATTTTATTTACACAAGTGTAAAACAAAAATTAATTTCATTTAGAACAGCTCTCTGGACAAAATAGTATAAAAAAAATATATATATAAAAACAGTAATATAAACATATGACTATAATTTACAGTTCTAACATTCTCAGTTTTTATTTATGTATATATATATATATATATATATATATATATATATA